AGGTTGTTTGAGCAAGGCGTTCAACATTCCAGGTGAAAAATCTTTGTTTACATGTCCCTTTTATCAAAAAGCATGGTTCTGTACCCCTACCCTTCTTTACCACTGTTCTGCTCAGCCCAGTGCTGGCGTCACAGAAGCCTTTACAGCATTGCTCAGACAGCCGACTCTGGAAGGAGCCCACGTCATGGATTTAGCCCCTAACTTCACTGCCTTGCTGTGTGACCCTGGTTCGTGTCTTACCCTCTCTGGGCCTCTGTGCTGTGATAATGAGAGAACTAGACGCACCCTGAGGGCCTTCTCAGCTTGGGTGTTCCCTGAGTCTGTGTTCTAGGCCATCCAAAGGACACCCTTCAAACCAGGAATTCTTGCTACCACATTCCCAAAAGGAAGACTAAGGCTGCAGGCCATGAGCACCAGAACCTGGGGCCTGAGGCTGGGGGAAGGGGTGAGAGTTCTTAGGGGCCTGTAGGGAGAAGCCATCTGGGGGCTGTCGTGGAGACACATGATACTAATAAATAGTCTGGATGCCTGCTTGGTCCTTCAGAGTTTATAAAGCACGCCCACACCCATTACCTCCGTGACCCTTCATTCCACAAACATCCAGGGAGCCCATCCTCTGTGCCCGGCGCTGGGCTGAGCTGGGACCGCAAAGGCGAATGGGATGTGGAACCCCTCTGGCCTCCAGGAGACTCCGTGGGAGGAGAGAGGCCTGCAGTGTGGTCAGAGCTGGGATGGGGCCAGCAGGCTGGGGGTGGTAAGGAGGAGGGGGAGCTTAGGCAAAGGCCTGGGGGTGTGGGAGGGAGAGGTCTGGAGTGTGGACTTTGAAGGGAGTTGGCCAGGGAGAGAAGGGACAGGGCCAGAATCTGCAGGGCCTCATAGGCCAGATTTAAGAGGTAGTTCTCTATCTTGAGAGGTCCCTGGGTGGTGCAAACTAACACGCTCGGCTGCTAACCAAAAGGTTAGCGATTCGAATCTACACAGAGGCGTCTCAGAAAAATAACCTGGTGATCTACTTCCAAAAAAATCAGCCATTGAAAATTCTAGGGAGCACAGTTCTGCCATGACACACATGGGGTCTCCATGAGTCAGAGTCGACTCAACAGCAACTAGCTTGGTGCTTGGCTCTAACTTAAGCACAAGGGGCCATCAGAGGGTTCCCAACAACCCTAGGAGGTAGATTCTATTATTATCCACTTTTACAGATGAGAAGACTGAGGCACAGAGGTTATACAACTTGCCAAGGTCACATAGCTGCTAAGTGGTAGAGTCAGGATTAGAACAAGGCAGCTTTAAGCCCTGAGATGTATGGGGAAGGCAGAGAAGAGAGGTAGTGGGCCTGGAAGCATGGAGTACCAGGAAGCTCCCAGAGCTGAAGGAATTGTCCACTCGCTCTCCAGAGTGGTTGTGGAATCTCTCTGGACAGAGAAAGTGGCCCAACCAGGAGCCCCAGGAGCTGGGTTTTATGGTGCGGCAATGGGCTCAAACATAGCAACGACTGTGAGGATGGCACAGGACCAGGCAGTGTTTTGTTCTGTTGTCCAGAATCATTATAAATCGGAACCGACTTGATGGCACCTAACTACTGCCCTGCACCTACTGTGTGACCCAGAGACGCTCACACTCTCTCTGCACCTGGGGTTTTCTCTCCTGAGGCATGAACATAAGCTCTCCCAGTTCTGCTTTCCTCACTGCTAGATGTACACCCAGAGACCAAGGCAGGGACAAAGGCTGGAGATGGGGGTGGGGAGTGGAATGGTGAGGAGGGGACAATGGAGGGACCAACACTTTTCTCCAAAAACCTAGTCAATTGCAGAAAATTCCCCCAAGGCGCCTCTGGCCCAGAGCTTGGGTTTGGGGGCAGTAAGCCCCACCCACCCTGCTTCCTCAGGGTCCACAAGGACCAGGCTTTCCAGAGACTTGGCCTTGTTTAGAAAGTGTCTCCTTTGGAGCCTGAGTCACCAGATCCCTGGGTGGTCTGGGGAAACCACAGAGTTACGGCCGAGCACCATGACTAGGTGGGGGGACTTCAGGTCCCGCTGCGGCTTCTGCCTCAGCAAGTCCGCCTTGCCTGCCTGGGACTCAGCTGCCCCATCTGGGAACCGAGGGGCCAGAACTGGAGTCTCAGACCCTGTCATGGATTGAATTGTGTCCCCCCAAAATGTTTGTCAACTTGGCTAGGCCATGATTCCCAGTATTGTGCAATTGTCCACCATTTTGTCATCTGATGTGATTTTCCTAAGTGTTGTAAATCCTGCCTCTATGATGTCAATGAGGCAGGATTAGAGGCAGTTATGTTAATGAGGCAGGACTCAATCTACAAGATTAGGTTATCTTTTGAGATACAAGAGAAGCAAGCAGAGAGACATGGGGACCTCCTACCACCAAGAAAGTAGTGCCAGGAGCAGAGTGCATCCTTTGGACCCGGGATTCCTGCACAGAGAAGCCCCTAGACCAGGGAAAGATTGATGACAAGGACCTTCCTCCAGAGCTGCGAGAGAGAGAGAAAGCCTTCCCCTGGAGCTGGCACCCTGAATTCAGACTTCTAACCTACTAGACTGTGAGAGAGAAGCCCTGGTGGCGCAGGGGTTAAGAGCTCGGCTGCTAACCAAAAGGTCGG